ATATATATAATATTTCGCATCTAAGAGCATACCACTTTTTTCAAAAAATTGTTTTCTAAGAACATTCCTACTTTGGAAGATGTTAAACCTTTAACAAGAAAGTCCTTGTTCCAAAGAAATCTTTTTAAAGCTTAGAAAGAAAGGCATTACATCACGAAAAAATTCCCTTCGGCAGTAACCTTCATCCAGGCGCTGCACACAACCAAGCCGACAGCGTAAAACAGCGGAAAAAAGCTCATATTTTCCCTTTGTCCATCATTGATGAAAACACAGAAGACACAGTTCATTAAATGAACAGGATCAAAAGAAAACTATAAGCTAGTTACTCCAACGTAATCATATGCTTGAATGCACATAGTGTTATAACCCAACACACAAATCCGCTTCTTGATTGTATTATGTATTGATGTACGGAAAGATTTAGCCTCCAAGGACTTTCTTCTCGGCAGACTATTTGTAAGCCCTACAGTTGGTCCTAAAATTACAAATACAATATGTAAACACGCTGGCCATTCTCCTCACAACTCCAACCCTTCCACCTCGCCAACCGAGCCTCCATCCTACCAACCATTTTAGGCTAGGGTACACATTGTTGCATGTGGTAAGAAATGTCTGGCCCGTAAAATTGAAACGCCCAAAATACGAAAACCCTCGTCCCATCACATCAGTGATACATCTGCAGAGCTGGGAACCAAGCTAAATCTCGGCCAGTGATCTTCACTGCCGGACAGCGACTGATTATGGACAACATCATTCCCCACTTGTCCATGATATGCAGTTCACGCGACGTCCAGAAAATACATATACTTCTGCGGCACCTACTCAATGTCCAATTAACGACGAAGCAGAGAATGATTGATACCAAGACTACGATAAGTGTAATGTTTCTTGCATGCAAGTAATAAAACATAAACGGCTGCAAATGCTGATTATTAAATCACAAGAATTTCTTACTAACAAATCATCCAGACAGTCACCATTACATAACGAATTATAAAGTTATTTCAAATAAGCAGTCTCGAAACAAGGCAAGTTTTGAATATTGTGGGAACTTGAAAATGCTTATCTGTGCATTCAATAACGGAAAATAATTTATATTAAACGCAATTCATACATAATTGGAATGATTTCAATTCAATAATAGTGATAGATAAATACTCAAGTACTCCTGAAATTATCGCTGAAACCAAATATACACAGTTCCATTAAAGCACAAAATTAGCACAGTTAAAACCCGGCAAAAACAACAAAAGAAAACAACATAATATTAATAATTAAAGGCATCTGCGGTTTCAATACCACCAGATTTACATGCGGTAGAGGCGCTTCGGTTTCCCATCATCGTTTGTTCCATGATATGATCGACTTGGTCCTGGACGGTCATCATCCTGAAATCCATCGTTGTTAGTAATTAAAATATAATATAGAGATAAATGTCTTTTCATTCGTGAACAATTTCAATTATTACTCACTAAATTTCTTAAGCCTTTAGAAAGAATCTTACAGTTAGCAGAATAGAAATTTCAATCTGCGACAACAACGATAAGTTAAAAAGATTAGTGACAGTTAATTATAGTAAAAGATTACTACGAAAAATACATATCACCTCTTGCTCATCGTCATCATTCAAAGACATCTGATTCATATCCTCATTGATAAGATCAACGTTTGACTGGTCTGCTTTCACCTTTCCTGAAAATATAAAGTATAATAAAGTTCAAATGCTACTCAATTCCCGATCTTATCTAGATTTAAAAAACCACCACACACCAACATGACTTAAGAAGAATGAATACCCTCGCAAGCATCATCCTCATAATCGTCTTCGCGGTCAGCAAAAGGCTCCTCGGCATCTGACATATGGGTGTCGTATTCATCATCTAATCCATAATACACGTCCATATCCATGAGCGTGTGGAAACCACCTGAAACTATTCAAACGTTAATCTTAAAAAGAAATTTCTGGACGACTGCTAATCTGACTTTAACGCAATATAACTACTTTTAGTATTATGTGACAGCAAGAAAAATAGTCTCAAAATGCAATAAAAAAATTACAATACAAAATTACCATATGCAATATCTTTGTTCTTCTTACACATGCTTCCAGAAACACCTCTTCCACGGGCTTTGCGATCCGCTTTCGCCTGTTTAATTCTAGCAGAAATCAGTGCGTCTTTCTTCTCCTTATTGAAAGATCTTGCTGAAAATTAAATGAATACTGAAAAAGGATCATGTCTTAAAGTTGCTTTATACAAAGCACACTTGCAATACCTTTCTTCGAATAAAAGAATAACAGTAATGATTATCATTAACTATTGAATAATTAGTTAAAGTATGTCAATAACATTTTTTCTTGAGTTACATGATGCAGATCAAATCACTTCTGATACGTAATTCTCAAAAAATCAATTTCTTCGAACCTCTTTCTTCAAAACAAAGCATAAGCTATAACTTTTCAAAACAAGTTCAATAGTTTGAATATCAGTACTGCTAATGTTTCAAAGCTATATACTTACGTCCAGCCCCACCGCCAGCTGCCACTGAAAGGCCTCCCCCATCGCCAGCTGCCATTGAAAGGCCTCCCCTACCAATGAAATTCATGTCGAATTCAGTACCATGCTCCAGAGCATATTCCTTTTCAGCAATCAACTCCGGGTCAGTGATATCACCATCGTCCTCCTCTCCATTATTCGATAAGCGATCCTCCCACTGCAAATGCAGAAAGTACTGGCGTCATAGAACGAAACTATCAGTCCCACAGATTGGAATATTTATCCTAGCACTTAAAAGGCTCTGTTTAATAAAAAGACCTTGTTTGGAAGCTTCTTATAATTATCGTGCTTGTCTTGTTTCTTTCCGGTCGGCATTGAGTTTCTACCGTTCTCTGAAAAACATTTATAAAAAATCACACGAATTAAAAAAGAAAATCATTTCTTCTATACAACACTGATATGGAAATGAACCAGCTTATCCAAACTTATAATCACCAACTGATTAACCGAAATGGATGGTTGTTTACAGGTAGCACCAAAAAAGCATAAAAAAAAAGGAATTTTTCTGGGAGAGAGAAAAAAAAACGAAATCAGCGAGAGAGAGAGATTTGAGCCATAACAATCAGGGAGTAAAATATATTAACCAATAAATGGATGGAAAACGTATTCGACCGGTGGTGGAAAACGTTAGTACAACAGGGATTTTAATACCGACAGTCGAAGACATTTCGTGCTTTCTCATAGGCTATTGAGTCCTACGGCTGGGAGATACTTGGAAGTGATGTTGTAGATGCAATTTGGAACATTCAGTAAGTACAAAGCTTCTGCAACAACATTAAACGTCATCGTTAGTTACACGGACACAATGTTAGTCAGAGGTATACACACCGAAACGTCAACATGAATGCGCACGCAAACACCTTACTTACCGTGACTTAACACGCGCGAGCAACCAACTAAACTTGGCACCACATGCCCGCTCCACATTATCCCTCCTTTCACCTCAACCGCGTCATCGGTAAAGTGCGGCTCGCCCGGAAAAGGGCAGACCTGAGAAGGACGAGTGTGGGAGAAGCGGAGATACGTGTAAGAGAAGCTAAAATGTTGTAGCATCACTCAAGATAAGATAAGATAAGGATGAAGCGTAACAGGTGAACGAAGTGCCTTACAAAGTGAGAACGACGTTGACGAGGTGGGGCGGATCGCAGAAAACGGAGAAGATAGTAATCCTTTACCGTCACCTGCAATGTAAGGGGGTCTTCTTCCCGGACGCGACGTGGTGTAATCGCTCTGACTCCTTAATTGCTCATTTCCCAAACTTACTGCCGTCTCTATCACCGGAATGGTTACTTTCATGGGTCCATTTTGTTTAGGTTTGTTTTTCTCTCTTTGCTTTATGACTCTATCTCCGACTCCCTTTGTAGGCCCAACCACCATAGTGTTAGCTTTCTTATTTTTAACAGAAAATTTTCTCAGAACGTGAAAAAAAGTTTGGCTGAGGTCAGAAATTCCACAAATTTGTAGACGTTGACAGAAGATCATCCAGAAATCTTATACACAGCTTTTTCTGGCAAACTCTTCATAAAGACACTGATTAAACGACAGAAAAATATTTGTAAAGCAGATGATAGTGATAAAAAAATTAAGATTGGTTAATGAAGGTATCAAATATTACAAGACATTCGTGTCAACAATAGATATTTTTCTAAAAAATCTGACGTGAATCGGAAAGGATAAAAAAAGGAGTAATGAAAGACCTTGTATATCTTTATCGTTTTGACTAAATTCGTCCTTAGAGCTCATCTTCCGGAACAAACCGCTCGCTGCCACGACAGAAATTAAAGTGAGCGAGCAGTCAGTTTGTGCTCGATTTAGTGGCTTCAAAATTTGCATATCGATTGGTTGTGAAGTAAGACTGATATTACTTTCACTTAAAAAGTTTGCATGCGCACCACAGTTTGAATCCATCACATTTTCTTGGATGTAGGGGTTTTCTAAATTACAAGAACTTCTATAGTAGAAGATTTGATTCCTTATCCGCTATTTCCTCACATGGGTAAATGAATTCGATGTTTTAGAAGTTTTGTTTCTTTACAAATTATTTCTTTAGAAGAAATAAAGTCTGGAATGCTGTTCCTCAAGATAGAGAGGTCTCTTTTATTTTCCGTTTAGAAGTCTTAGAAGTCTCTAAAACGATTAGAAATCTCTAAAAAAACGATTTTTCCGTCAATTTTGCAAAACCTTTTTGCTGTTGCATGTAGCATTCTTCACGAGGATTTAGCAAGAATTTATAGGAATTATAATAAATTTTGACTTGTCTGGAAGGTTGACGGAGTTTTGTATGTGGAATGACCTAACTTGAGAACATCTGAGGAAACAATGAGCCCCAAATTTACAGTTTCCTGGGACAGTTAAGCACGTTTGTTTAGTGAATTGCTTTCTTAGTACTTGTTCAATATTCAGCAAATTTATTACTGGGAGAAATTTTGTGTTGTGTTGACAGATGCAACTGCAACTTTTTCCTAGAGCCAATATAAATGGGCAGGCCTTTACTCACCGCGCTTTTATGAAAGCTGAAGTTTTACACTGTTGTTTTTTTAAATTGAAAAGATGAAATTGAAATGAAATAGTAGTTTTGCGCTTCCTAAAGTAATCGTAATAATATTCTGCAATGTGGAGTGATTTTTCTGACCAAAAGCATATGCATATGTTGTCTTATTTTTTCCGAAGCATAACATGAAGCCTCCAACATTAGCAGGAATTTTCGAATTTTCCCGCTGAAAAGTGTGTACAAAAGCGCTTTAGACATAAGTCTTCAATTTTATTTAGCGCAGAGAGGTAGCTTATTTGTATCTCAAGCGAAAGAGGCGATGTAACGAAAGAAGCATTACTGGAACAGCTGTTACTTCAGGTTGCTGCTCCGTCAGAGCCGCTGGTGCAACAGCTTAGCCTCCGGGTGTGCCATAATACTCACCAGTTCTGCATCATCTGCTTTTTTCTGTTTCTATATGGAATCTAAAGAAAGTCATTGTTTGAACGAAAAATTTATTTTTCAGTAGTTGCAACACTATGAAAAATCATTCAGGAAACAATGAATTGTTTTCGGTTTGGTTGCCAATTAATGATTGAGTGAAGTGAAGTGAAAAGCTATCTTCCGTTTATTGGATGAATCTCGTGAAAGAGATCAAGTTATTTCATGAAACAATTTGAATAAGGTAGGTTCTTTATTTGGTAAGTTCAAATCTTTTGGAAAGCTGGTTTCGAATTGACAGCAATTAACTGGTAGTTGAAAAGTATTTGTCACTGCTGTTTTCATCGTGATTGTCGCTGTTTATCAAAGTCTTCATGATACAATTGTCAGGAGATTTTTGACTATGATTGGATGGCTTATATCCATTGCCTTATTTGCACTCTTCAATTTCTGCTACGCTCAATATCGTCGAACTATAAACCCAATCGAATTGCGAACGACCAAAGGAGAATTTTTCATTCATACACTTCATTCCGGCAACTTTTTCCCACAAACAGGTAATTATTTTTAATTTTATTTTGTTCTGTTCAAAGGCAGTGGTATGGGGAATTGAATATAACTAATATGGTATATGGGAACTGTAATGTTCATCACTATTTTATATTATTATCAGTAGGCTAAGAAAAATTGTGGTAAATAAATGAACACAATTTATATCCCAAAGGTCATTTTAGCTTTTTGTGAACAATGACAGGTGATTATTGCAAGATGATGGCTCCCATCCATCCCTCATATGTTTCTCACTCGATTGCTCATTTTTTATTTTAGTCAATGATCAGTGACGAGAGGTGGCATATTTTTGAAAATGTAACACTGGCCTTAAAAAACAGATTGATGAAAGTGATCTTTTTGCAGTCGATGTTAAATGGTCCGCCTCGTTGCAAGGCCGCCCTGCTTTGCCATTGTGGTTGCACTTGATGCCCTCTAGGCACAGAGCCCTTGGATACTTATATGGTACTGTGGTGTCGCCTTTTAATCAAGTTGTTATACATGTTATTGCTCGACGGTTAGATAATTACGATAAAGCGGAACAGTATATAACAATATTTTTGAATGATAATGGTAAGATATCTATAGTGTGTGCATGAATGTGATTTTTATATTCTTATGCTGTTTCCAATTATATTTAGTCCCACTGTGCCTGTTTTAGTTTAATTTTTTCTAGAAAAATACAGTAACGCAACGCAGCAATTTGCCGAAATTTATATAAAAAATTACAATCCTGAAGATCTTTTAACTGATCGCACTCGAACTATTGATCGACTGAGAAAATCAATGAAAGAATCATTTAGAGGGAAAGGACTAAATCCCTATATATTCCAAATTTTAGCCGCTGGAAATTCACCACCTCAAAATGCCCAACTCGATCTACACCACAAAGTTGGGTAAGCTGTGATGCATTCGGTAAAGCTTGTAGTATATTTCATGCCTGCCATATCTTGTAAACAATAGCTAATAACAACAATCAACTTTGATTAACAAACTACTGAGTGCTATCGAGATGTTTATCTTTTTTAGCTTTAACGAATCGTTCGTTCTAAGGGTTTTTTTAAGAAGCATAGTTCGAATTGGTACGCAGAATCGTTTTCATGTGAATGTACTGAATTTGGAACGTGGATTGCAAAGGAATCCGCAGTACTGCAGCAGGGATCAGCTCGTACCACTGAACAAATTTTTTGCTCCAGTTTTTCAAATTGATTGGTGCAATTTCTATGTGGTAATTGTTTGTTTGATTGGATTAAGTGAAATAGTTTGAAGGTGACATCTTGGGCATTATCAATAGAATCATTCATAGCCGTATCATATCTAAAGTAAGGACAGACATATATCACTGAATGACCGAAGAGTGCTTTTTCTCAAGATTTCATCAATTTATTCTGGCAGAGGTAAACTGACTGTGGTAGCATCATTTTAAATAATCATCTGACAAACTTTCTACAGTCGAGATGTTAATAATTATTGCAGAAAAATGTAACAGCACCAACTATTCACAGTAATGATGCAGAGCTCCAGCAAAGGTCGATGAAAGTAATCAGACCGGACACAGAAACGGTGCATACTTCCTACCAGCAACACCAACCATCTATGTCGTCCATATTGAAAGTGGAAACTCCTGTATTACACACCAGATACTATTTTTGGGAATCATTTTTGGTAAGTTATTCATAAAAAATTTGTCTGAATTATTAGCATTTGTCAGCCCGTTGTATCTTCTACACAGTTGAAAAAGAAAGCCGTTGCTAAAGGTTGATCATTTAGATGTTTCCGATGTTGGGTGTATGTTGCATCCTCTTACTTATTCTGCTAAGTCTTATTTTCTTTGGCCGTCGCGAAGGTCAACACTGGAGGGATTACAAAACGCCAAAGTATGCTTTTCTCATTGCTTTCACTCATCACTTTCGCAGTAGTGACACGTTGTTTCATGCAAAACTCACTGAAAATGTTTTAAGACGACAGTTGGAGGAATATGTTAGTGTACGCGAGAGTCAACGCCATTTGCGTGAACTTTCTATGCAACGACAAATGCTTCTAATGGCTTCAGACAGGGCACAGTCGCACACTCCACTTGGTTTGTTTTTTTTTTTTTTTCATCATCAGATATGAATCGTATAAATTTGATTTAAAGAGACTTTTACAATTTCAGGAATTCATACATTCCTGCAGCCGAAATCTCCAAGTCGGAATCCATCTTCAGAAAATCTCCGACCTAATCCATCCAGTCGTGGTTCTCGGTCACCCCTATTAAAAGAATCGAGAGGTCATTTGAGTACGTCAAAAATTTTGTTCTTTTGTGCATTCTGTCTTAGTGATGCATCCGAATCAGATATTTTGCCTTCAGTCAAAAGAAAAAATGTGGTGTACAAGACGTTCGGATGAAACATTTCAGGTGTAAGTCCAGATAAAACCTCTGGTGATCATGTCATTCTGATGAGCAAGCAAACAGTTGCAGAAGCAGCGAAAGCATGTGGCTCATCACTGCATTTGTATAGGAACCCTTTTGAAAACGATCCAAATGATAACAGCGCGGAGGAACAGTCCACTGATGGCGGTGATCTAAACAATACGAAACTCGTGAAATGAACTCTTTACCTCTTGACCTTATCACTCAGCTGTGTTACCTAGTTTTACCACTGACTAACCAAATTCGGATTTCATGTATAGCCCTCCTTGCTTTGGTCGTTTTATCAATTTAAACAGAGCTTCTCCGACTTCACATTTGACAAAATTATCTTAATGGTACTTGATAAGAAATTTTCCATGTCCACTTCACTGCACATCCACCTCTTTCTCTTTTATTTACTTTCAATTTCTGCAAAAACTTTACCATCTCCCCCACCCCTCATATTTCCTTTCCGAAAGTTCCATTTCTTCTTCCTGTTTACAACTCCTTATGGATTTTTCTTAACTTTGAAATAAAGAATAACTGTTCATAAATGTTTCCGATTGCTACTGCCAGCACGATTATACGCCTATGCAAAGACAAACTGCTTTGAAGCGTTTGCAACCGTCTCGCGGAGTCTGATCTGATTTATAGGGTGCCCAATGACCCCAATTTCAGAATATAATAGATAATATCCGTTAGTAACGTACTGCCGTGTTTCAGGACTCAACTTCCCACGAGTTTCAATAATATAAATTGATAATGTGGGAAAAGAAACATGTCTTAACCGGAATTTTATTGAATAAGTCAGTGAATCTTGGACAAAACTGATTACGTGTTCGGTATGTCACGCACAATAAAGAAATGGCACCAGTATTATAACACGGCATCTGTTTCGACTAAAGCAAAACGAATAGCATAAAAAAGTGAACTCTGACGAAGAAATTTATCTCTTTACATAACTACAACGCAATTTACAGAACCGTTGACAATAATTACGAAAGGCACCAATACAAACTACAAAGCAGGATGCACCGTGTGGAGAAAAACAGTTGAAGCAAAGCGTGGATCATGAAATAAAGCAAACAGCGAATACAAAGACAAGACAATCCGGATCCTTGTGCTGCATAACCGGCTCAGACAAACTCCTTTGCAGCACAACGCAGAAATGAGCTCTAATGACACGGCCTCGTTAATAGTAATGAACGGATCGTGGTAGAGCAATGTATGTTGATCAGATGACCGCTATAAGTGGTTAATGAATAATTTTATACATCATCTTCAAAATCGTCTTCCTGAGCAAGAGGTGGAGCCCTTATATAACCTTCACGGACAATACAGAGTACGTCCTCTGGATCTAGTCCTTCCTCTTCCACTTCTTTGCAAATCTCACTGGCCTGCAAGTTATAGTTTACGAGTAAAAAATAATTGGAACAGTGATTTTTCTTGAGAACAAGTTATCTGATCGCAAAGTCGCTTAATCAAAGAATTACAATGGCAACAAACACATCAGAAGCTCACATCTAGGCGATGCATTGTTCTTCCATTTCCTAATCTCTTATGAGAATAGATTTCTGGTGGACTTTTTGATGAACGTCGAAAACGTCGTACGCGGCACATATCGAAAGTGAACGAATCGTCCTGAAAAAAACCACCGAGGAAAACGAATGCTGCAACAACATTACTCCCACTTGACAAATTAAGCATTGTCAACCTCATTACTACCGAAGTTTTCATCATCCGTGTCCGAATTTTCATCGAAGTATCCATCAATCCCATTAGCAATCCGCTCAAATTCAAAATACTGCCCATTTGTCGTTGTTTTCGGAATTTCTGGTAACTCACTGTAATAAACAAACTGTTCTTCAGGAACTTTCACATAAAAATATTCACTGGCTCAGTGAATGCAGTTATCTGCCTCATCTCTCTTACGCACTCGCAGTTTTCATTTATTAAAGTGCTGCCTCAACATCTTAATCGATAATGCTTATAACTCGTTAATTCAGTTTGCTTTAAATTAAAAAATGTAAATAAAGCAACGCCATTGCAATAAAGCATCATTCCCAAAAAAATAAATATTGCAAATATACCACTTCCTCACTCATGTGAAGTGAACGTTTCTGGCTGAACAAATTGAATGAAGAGGAATTCTCCATAAATGTAAGTTCAAGAGTACTTCAAAAGAAAAGTTCCATTCCCGATATAGCTAATGACAGTAGATTCACCAGATCAACCCGTCATGTGTTTTTGCAACCTGTTTTTGAAGTAACGATGCTTTATATTATATTGCTATCGATATAGCTATCAAAGTGGAAGAAAATTCAAAAGTTCTGGAAACTATAGAACAACGAACCAGTCAGCATAAGATAACAGTGGTTCATTTTGAGGTTTTACCACATGATCGTCGAATCCGTTAGCATTAGAATTATCATCCATGTGGGGAAATCTCATTCTGCCGTCATCTTCGGCGTCTTAAAAAAATTTATACCTGACTGGACAAAAAAACCATTCGATATGACAGCTCAATTTAATTTTCAAAATCGTTATTCTAGTTTTTAGTATTTATTTTTTATTTAAAATTTCTAACACGAAATCAAGTTCGAGAAATGAAGATATGAACAGCTACAAATTAAAGTAAATAATCTCAAAGCCACATTATAGACTATTTATCAATATTTGTTTTCGTAAAAGTCAGTTATGGTCTCACATTACCGGCTTAATGAGAGTCCAAATAGACCACAAGACTGGGCTTCATCAATACCGTAATGGAAACTAAATTTAAACGATGTTAAAATATCACAAAGACTGCTGCAATATTTTTCTTCCCATGATAGATCCAACTTCATCTACAATTTTCCGGTCTTCATCAGATTTCATAAGAATGGTTGTTAACATCAAATATTTTCTTGAATTTTGTTCACTCGTCTATTCCCCAAGATTCTTTAGTTCCTTTTTTTATGAATTGCAAAGACCATTTTCACTCGCACTCCAACATACAAATATGAAGAAAGTTGGATTTTAGGAGAACGAAAGCGATAATTTCTAGAATGTATGATAGTGAAGAGGGATTTTTTAAAGTGTATCCTCCTATTATGCACAAATTAAAGAAATGAAAATATGAAAAGCACAGAGGGAAAAATGGGGCCAATGGAACGAGCTCCATACTGCTATAAACAGCATGTATAGCAGTTTCCCGTTTTAAACGTCTATTTCCAAGAATGTATTGCAGAATAAGTATGAACTGTTAAGAACAGGATGGAGACTAAGTGATATCGAACCAACCGTGTCAATCAATCCTGTCATCCTCCAATTCATACTAAACATCAAGATAATGAGGAGAAAAAGTGTAATTAATGAATTATTTAATTCAGTTAGCACATCATATAGCAACAATAAATATTACAATAAATGTGACAGCACAAGCAACATTTTTTGTTTCTGTATAACATGACATAGGTGTTCTGTAAATAGCCACCAAGCCTTACTGCTTAGAGGATTTTAAGAATTAAAAAAAAAAACTTGCAAATAATTCTGGTTTATTTTAAAGCTGTCTTAATCCAAATTAATCCATATTTACTCACTAGTTATGTAAATAGAATTCGCATATATCTGCTTAACATGTAACCGACTAGCAAGCTACTCAAAAGAATGGAGGTAATCACGAACCTGTGCTCCTGACATGCATCTGAGCATAATCCACGAAAGCCATATAATCAGTGTAGCGAAATAGGTCGACTGCTGTTTTCACCACTTCGAAATCATTCAAACCATCCCGAAAACTGCACAAAGTAATTTATACCTTGATCAAATTGCATCATTAAATGATAAACGAATGACTGACAATCCGGACCCTGTAGAGAAGTTCCATGAACCCACGTCCAAAACATTTTCAGTCATAAACGAGAAGTTTCGCCGTTATAATATAACGGCAGGAAAGAAGGGGGATGAAAGAGACTGTCGTATAAATTTTTAAATTCCAGTTCTCACGCAAATGAGAAAATGAATTCTAGTAATCGCGATTCTCATGACTCCCTCCCAACTTACTCCCATAGTTATTCCATATGTCGATAAGTTGTAATAATCGCAAAAAATCATAAAAATTTTGATCTGCTGTCTTGCAGGAATAAGCATTTGTTTTGGAAAATCTGGACATTCCGATATGCAACCAACTTCGAAGTGGGAACTGGAAACATATAGTAGAAATCGACGAATAAGAAACCGATGTATCGGGATGACAGTTTCCGGGTTGGAAATACGAAGGATAACCGTGCAAAGTCACAATTTTGAACCATCAGATAACACAAAATACTACTTGGTCAAGTATATCAGTTTGTATATCTTTCTATTCGTGATACTTTTTTCCTCATCCTGCATCATATCATCCGTAAATGAGATCAGAAAGGATCCAAAACTGTTCGTCGCTCTATTCGAATACGGAAGCAGACAGCAGAAGAGGAAGCTTCATGGTCACGCCATTATAAAAAAAGAATTCCCACGTCATTTGACTGGAAATTCGGAAGTACTCTTGTGGTACTGGTGTAGAGAGGAAGGAAAAAAGATAGATTCGATAAATTCTACGTTTAATTCAAAAAAGGCAAACACAAAATGGGTCGGAGATTAGAAAATGAGAAGCGAACAGAGTGCCCTTTCCACAGACAATACACATCGAGCAGTAGAAATAAGTGAAC